TACGTACGTACGTAGTAGTAGTAGTAGTAGAAGAGAGAGAGAGAGAGAGAGAGAGAGAGAGGGGGGGGAGACATTGCAGAATTTAGAGGGTGTCCAAAAGATCGAGAAGCTCCAGTTGATTATTTTCGTCCCAACCAGCGATCAACAAGCTCGTGAAGTCGTCCTCGCTGAGGCTCACCTGCGTCGACTCCGGCACCTCCGACAGACTGTCCGGGATAGGGGGTGACACGCTACTAGGCGGGGTCTCGTATAGGGTGTTGGACAAGCAGCTGGTGGGCGGTGTGCAGCTGCTGCCAGTCTGAAGAGCGTTAAGCGTCGTCGTCGCTGTCGCTATCGTTGCCGTCGCTATCGTCGTCGTCGCGATCGTCGTGGAAGGAGATTGCCTCTTCGTGCCCCGGGTCCGATGCGAGATCGCGGAACGGCGTCTGGACCGTTTGCCCTCCTCCATCCTCTCGAGATCCAGCTTCCAGAAGCCACCCTTGCCCGGCTCGTCCTTGGAACGTGGCAGCTTCACGAAGCATTTGTTCAACGAGAGATTGTGCCGAATCGAATTCTGTTCGCGATTAATAATAAACTTATTATTTGTATTATTTGTCAACATTTAACAACGTTCAACAGAAAGCAGAGTCAAAGGTTTTTCTTTTAAAGTCGAAAAGCAATAAAATTAAAATTTATACAAACTTGGATATAAAATACACTTTTAATTTAATTAATTTAAAGAACGGCAAGAGAAAGGCGAAAGCTACAAAAACTGTGAAATCCGTGTTACCTGCCAGGCTGGATCGGCGTATTTGTAAAACAGGAAATTCTCTCGAATCCATGCGTAGATATTAGAAAGGGAGACCTTGTTATTGTTAGCGCGCATCGCAAGACAAATAATAGTGGCGTAGGAAAACGGCGGCTTCGCATCGGGATCCGTTCGATATTTGTCGGCATTTTCCGCAAGATCTAATAGACGGGAAATCGAAAGAGAAGATTACCCATACTCTAACTATAACTATGATATTGAAGCGTACTTTTAACAATCTTTCCATTCACTCCGATATTCAAAAATTACGTTAAAATAAAATTATTATTTATATAATCTAAATCTCGAAAGCTGGTTACCTAGTTCGGCCTTGACCAAGGGCGACAGCTTCTTCGGGGGTTGACGGGTGATCGGGGGCGGCGACGGCGAGCAGGGTGGCGTCGGCAGGCCGGACGCGCTGGTGATGTCTAGGGATTGCAACCAGGAGAGGCTCGTTAATTCAGCCTCGACCCCGTCGTAGTCGTCCGTGCTGTCCATGCCGTTGCAGTCCACCGTGGCGGGGGTTGTGGCAATGGTGGCAGAAGAGCTCTCCTCCGTCGATACTTCAACTTCCGCTAGGTCGATCCTCATTTTTGCCGTCTCTCATCACCCGCGCGTGCCAGCGCGATAAGCGCCTATGCAAAACAGTCGTTCCCGCGCAGCGTTAATATTTTTCCCGAAACCTTTCTCGCTCTCTCGACGGAATTTCTCGCCAAGTGGTGGCGATGATTCGCCGATCACAGATTATTATTATTCTAATCGGTCGCTCGCAAATTAGGCGACGAACGCGCGAATTATTTTACTCGGGACAACGACGTCAGGAATGCACTTTCCTCTCGTCGGCGCTTATCCCTAGCTAATATCGAATCTCAATTCCAATTCGTATAATTTTCCAAGATTGCTCGAGCGATACTCGGAACTCGTGATTCACGAGCTCGTGGAAATGTTTCCTGACGTCACAGAAATGACGATTGCTCGGCGTACATCTTTCCCTTCTCTCCCTTTTTACTCCGTCTCAGATGTTAATATTACGCGCGTGTAAAGAGAGCGTAGTAGTCGAGGTTCACACACACAAAAAAAAAAAAAGAAATTTACTAACGAGGACAGCGTATCCTTCCCGGAAAAGAAACACGTAAGATAATGCGTCATCCGTCGAGGGTTGTTCGCGGAAAGACGCAACATCGATCACAACTCCACCACCGGTGAAAAGAGCTTGGAAAATCAATTGTAAAAATCAATTGTAAAAAAATGTGCGATATCACGAAGAGTTTGCAATTTTACATACTACTTCGTTCAACGGAGAGTACGATCACGCACGTACGTGAGGCAAAAGCGATTAACGACGACTGGCCGCGAGAGAGAGAGTGCATGCGGACGGCACGGTCGAGCGAGTTGGACTGGTGGTGAAACGCAAAGGGGTGAAACGCGCGCTGCTGCCTTGTGTGCCTACCTGCTTACCAGCGACCTGACGGAGGCACCTAAGTGCGCGCGTGTGGTGACAGGTGCTAGGTTCCCTCTCGCACAGGTGGACCATGCACACGCGCCGGCCAGACCCACCGACGACCCTCTTTCCTTTTTCGTCGACCCTCCCCTAACTGAAAACCAACGGGCGAGTTTCACCCTCGTGACTCCGATCATGGCGAGTGCGAGTACGAGCTGCGACGCCGAAATATTTCAGATGATATCGATAAGATATCAACGATGTTAATTTAATTAAAAAGATTTACGCCGATTACGTGGTAAATCCGCGTATTCTCTGGTGGATGCTTTTTTCTTTTTTTTTTTTCGAGATTTTCAAACATTGTGATCATGTAAAGATGCGGATTAATTGGAAATATATTACGTGAAATTGGAAGATCCTGAAGGAGCATGAAAAATTTTTTTAAAGTATCTTGTATCTTTTTTGAATATCGAAAGTGTTTGTAAATTTCTTAGAAATAAAATTGTTATCTGTTAGCAAACGAAATAAAAAATAAATTGAAATAGTAATAGTAATAGTTACATTGTGTAAAGAAAAAAATATATTTAAAAAATTTTTCAAAGCTTTCAATATATTTGTTCCTAAACTGAGTAAAATTTTCAAGGCTTTCCAAAATTTTTTGTTTTCGAATAATATTAAAATTCTAATAATCACAAAAAGAGTGAAAGAGTTAATCTTTCCTTTTTAAATTTTATATTTTAAATTTTGAAGAATTCCTTAAAATAAATACAATTTAAACGAATAAACTTTTAACACAGTTGCGTCATATTTATAGATCTTCTTTCTGACCTTGATCTAGCTATGCGAAAGCTGATTATCTCGATGCAATTATTATTAGACAGCTTTCTATATTAAAGCATACAAATTTATTTTAATACAAGATGTTTTTGTTATATATTTTTTTATATTTGCAAGAACTTATATTTATCGGAAAAGCACTTAAACATTCGATAAAACTAACAAATTCTTACAAAAAGAAGATAAAGAATAATTGACTTGACATTTCCTAAAATACATAGAAAAAATTGATTTCAAATTAAGACAAATATTCTCATATAAGCAAGAATAGTATAATCTTCTTCTAAAATTTTAGTTTTGATTTGATTGATTTGTATTGATACAAATATTACTTTTGCTCAAGACTAAATCTTTTATATGAAGATTACGATATTGTTATGTATAAAAATAGATTCGCATTAATATAAATTTAACCAAATCAAAGGTTAAAAATTTTTTCTAACACTTGTATCAGATAAGATTGAGATTAAGATTAAATTGGAATTTGAGTTCAT